AGAAAGAAAGAGAAAGAAAGAAACAAAGAAAGAAAAGAAAAACAAGATAGAGAGACAGAGAAATATAAAAAAAGAAGAAAAAAGAAAGAAAGAAAGAAAGAAAGAAAGAAAGAAAAGAAAGAAAGAAAGAAAGAAAGAAAGAAAGAAAGAAAGAAAAAGAAAACTGAGTAGATAGAGATTAAGACAGGACATACAGAAGCAATGTGTAAAAAAAAAAAAAAAAAAAACTGAAAGTAAGAAACAGATAAAGACATAAGCGAGCAGAGGAGATATGAAAAATGTATACAGTACATACAGAAGAAACAAGGGAAAAAAAAGTAGAAAAAAGAGAAGGAAAAGAAACAAAGACTGCTGTAATCGATATGTGAATTTTTTTTCTTAGCTCAGAGACTATCTAGAATCAGCATAAACAGGTGACATAGACGTACCTCCAAAAATCATATACACTATATTGCCAAAAGTATATTGCATGTTTAGGGGTGGAATTAGGGGCGTGGCAGGGTAGGGGTTGGTTGGAGCAACTGATGGTGAGTAACTTTTAAGGCCTAGCTAGTAGCTCAGGACTTGAAATGTTGAGTCTTTTATATACACTATATTACCAAAAGTATCGGGATACCCCTCCAAATCATTGGATTCAGGTGCTTCGATCACCTCCATGGTCACAGGTGTATAAAATCAAGCACCTAGGCATGCAAACTGCTTCTACAAACATTTGTGAAAGAATGTGTCGCTATCAGGAGCTCAGTGAATTCCAGCGTGGTACCATGATATGTTGCCATCGTTACCATCCATTAAATTTCCTTGCTACTAAATATTCCACAGTTGTGTCTGAAACGCACAGGGTGCAGAAGTCGTCAACTGTCTGCAGAATCAATAGCTAAAGACCTTCAAACTTCAGGTGGCATTAGATTAGCACAACAGTGTGTAGTCATCCAAGCCTTACATCACCAAGTGTAATGCAATGGTGTAAATCATGCCGCCACTGGACTCTAGAGCAGTGGAGACATGTTCTCTGGAGTGATGAATTACGCTTCTCTGTCTGGCAGTCCAATTGACATGTCAGGGTTTGGCGGTTGCCAGGAAAATGGTACTTGTCTAACTGCATTGTGCCAAGTGTAAAGTTTGGTGGAGGGGGGATTATGGTGTGGGGTTGCTTTTTAGGGGTTGGGCTTGTGAAGGGAACTCTTAGGGCGTCAGCATACCAAGACATTTTGGACAATTTCATGTTCCCAACTTTGTAGGAACAGTTTGGGGATGGCCGCTTTCTGTTCCAACATAACTGCGCACCAGTGCACAAAGCAAGGTCCATAAAGACATGGATGAGCGAGTGTGGGGTGGAGGAACTTGACTGGGCTGCACAGAGTCCTGACCTGAACCCGATAGAACACCATTGGGATGAATTAAAGTGGAGACTGCAAGCCAGGCCTTCCCATCCTGACCTCACAAATATGCTTCTGGAAGAATGGTCAAACATTCCCATAGACACACTCCTAAACCTTGTGGACAGCCTTCCCAGAAGAGTTGAAGCTGTTATAGCTGCAAAGGGTGGGCCAACTCAATATTGGACCCTACGGATTAAGACTGGGATGCCAATAAAGTTCATGTGCGTGTAAAGGCAGGACGACCAAATACTTTTGGCAATATAGTGTATTATTAAATAATAGTAATAGAATTTAGATATTTGTATTCTACGTCTGGTAGTATCAGATCCCTTAGTCCTATCAGTACCACGCACAGGGCAGAAACAGTTTATAGATGTAGATGTACAGTATATTAGCACATAATAATAACTTAGAACGGGGGTCAGCAACCCATAGATCACGATCTACCAGTAGATTGCAGCCAGGTGACTGGTATATCGTGATCTGGGCTTGCTTACCCATCTTCCCAGAACATCAAACAGAGTGCACTGCAGAGGGACTACTCATAAAGTTGGAGCTGTAGTAGGGAGCAAGAGCCACATAAGCCGATGTCTACTCTGTAGTTCTGGCACTTGTCCCATGCGGAGTGATAACAACTGCACACCACCTCTTATCTCGGCTAACGGCCTCCAGAATAGTGCCAGCAGCAGAAAAGACGAGATCTTCAGGTCAGTGTGCAGCAATACACTGGGCATAATAGTATAGGGCTGCTTTCACACTGATGCACTGCGGTTTGCCCACTTGCAGCTTTCCTGCGGGTTTGCTGCGCTTAGCCAAAGACTTCTGTTATATCCTGTGGATTTGGTGCACATTCTGAAAGCGCACCAAAACTCCTGAATGACGGTGTTTTAGTGCGCTTTGACAAAGTGCACCACACCTGTAGGATATAATAGAAGTCTATGTCAAAGCGCAGCTAACCCAAGAAAGTCACAGATGCGCTGCACGGTACCTATGGTGCAGGTAAACTGCAGCACATCGGTGTGAAAGCAGCCTTATAAGGGGCTCAGAACAGTAAATATTAATTTACATTTGCAGTTTTGGGGTGGTAAAAACCCATAGTTAAGACGTGTTTTTACTACCTCTACCCTAACTGCACCCACTTTAACTGTAGTGGCCAGAAGTGTATACATGTCACAGCCGCAGCAGGAATTATACGCCCTGTCATGGTTGGTGGGTGTCCTGCAAACTTGTGCAGTGCAGCAAACAAGGGGTTAAAGCAGGCTGCATTGTGTTGCTTTCCTACCACCTGCCTTAACATCTGGACCCCACTGAAACATGTAGTTGCAGGGTGCTTGGAGAGTGGCCCCATTTCCTTGTATGGGTCACGATTGGCAGGCTGTATTATCCACCAAGGGCAACAGGGGGTTAAATTCCTGCTGCAGCATGTGTACATCTTTGGCTGCTGCCTCAGCAGCTAACGGGGGTAGGGATTGGGGATGTTAAAACTGACTCAACCTCAGGATTTTACCACCCCCCAAACTTTACATGTGAACGAGCCCCAAGGGTGCGGCTGCCAGATGCAACTAAGGGCTTCTCCATCACATCCAACAATGCCACCATCAAACCCGCCCGCAGGGTTTGACTTGGTGTCATTCTGGACTCCAACCTATCCTTCCAGCCCCAAGTCCAATCTTTAACAAGCTCGTGCAGACTCCACCTCCGCAACATCGCCAAAATCCGCACGTTTCTAACCCCAGAAACCACTAAACAGCTCATTCACTCCCTCATCATATCACGACTCGACTACTGCAACTCCCTCCTCACTGGCCTGCCTCGCCGCTGGCTATCCCCGCTTCAGTCCATCCTGAATACGGCTGCCAGACTCATTCACCTTTCCAACCGCTCCATCTCCGCCACCCCCCTCTGCCAATCCCTCCACTGGCTTCCGATTGCGCAACGGATCAAATTCAAAATCCTAACACTGATGTACAAAGCCGTCCACCATACTGCCCCGAACTACATCACTGACCTAATATCCAAGTACCGCCCAGCACGCACACTCCGCTCCTCACAAGACCTCCTTCTCTCTAGTTCCCTGGTCTCCTCCTCCCATGCCCGCCTCCAGGACTTCTCCAGGGTGTCACCCATCCTCTGGAACTCCCTGCCCCAACCCATCAGATTATCACCTACTCTCCTCTCCTTTAGGCGCACCCTGAAAACCCACCTCTTCAGGGAAGCCTACCACACCCCCTGCTAACTTGCCGACCTCCCCCACTCTTCCTACCACTCCATCCCCCACAGCTATCTCCTCCTGTACCACCATCCCCTCCCTCCTAGATTGTAAGCTCGAAAGAGCAGGGCCCTCGATCCCCTCATGTTTTGCATTGTATTGGTATTGTTCTGTCACATGTTCTGTCCCCCTTTGTAATGTACAGCGCTGAGCGAACTATCGGCGCTTTATAAATACTGTATAATAATAATAATAAAGGGCTCATTCACAAGTGCAGCAGGCACTACTGCTCCTCTGCAAAACGATCCACGTGTGTTTGAGAGGTGCTGAGGAGGCGATATGTTGCCTCCTCACCACCTGATTTAAACCCACGATTTCCATTCAATGCAGATGATTGTGACACGGTAGTATGGCAATTAGAGGTTTAAATCAGGGGGTGAGGAGGCGACACTGGATGGAACTGTGCCCTGTGATCTATGACTTCTCCCATGTTGTTCGGGTAAATCTCCACCTCATTAGTCCTCATGCACACGGGACGTTTTTACAGCGGCTGTTTTTGGCTTTTGCCATTTTTTTCTACAGCCAGTAAATGCCCCAGCATGTTATCCTATGTGTCCATGCACACATGGGCTGTAATCAGCATTTTTGGGCTGAAAACCCCCCCAGAACTAGTGGGTTTCTAGATGTAGCAAATGTAGCAAACTGGTGTTTTTGGACTTTTTTGAGCAAAAATTTATTTTTTTTAAGTAAAGAAAATGCTAAAAAACGCAAACACGGAAAAACGCAGCAAAACGCGGCTAAACGCTAATGCAAAAATGCTTAAAAAAAAGCTGAAAAAAACGTGTATTTTTAACATGCTTTACACAGCTAACGCTACCAGCATTATTATCAAATGCCCCGTGTGCACAGGAGCCTAAAGGTTGCCTACCCCTGGCTTAGAATGAGAAAATTTTTGATTTAATTTTTTTTTCAGAATACAGGCATACCTCGCTTTACGAATGCCTCGGTTACCATAATTATCGATTTACGACTGAAAATCCATTGAAAATAATACCTCGGCTTACGAATTTTGTTTGCAATACGAAGCAAGTTTCCCCAGAATGAATTGCGCCTGGGAGGTTTATAGCGCCACCCCCGTGTATGCTGGAGGGTGTGGGTAGCACGTGGCATCGAGTGTGGAGGTGTTGGAGTGGTTTTTGCATCGAGTTTTGGAGCCATTCTGGAAATGTTTAGTCATGTCCCTGTACAGTATTTATGCCTTTAAAGTGTACTTTAACCACCTCCTGACCGCCATATAGTACAATGACGGGCGCAAGGCTGTTCTCTCATTTTGGGAGGACATTTGGGAGTGCGCAGCGAGGAGATCGGTGGTTCTCTGTATCCCTTGGACACAGCGGATCAACGGAAAGAGCCGAAGATGTCACCTCGGTCATGTGATCAGCTGTGTCCAATCACAGTGGATCGCATGTAAATAGGGAAATGTCGGTTATTGGCATTTCTCTCCTCATGAGCTGTCATGCTGACAGCTGGTGAGGAGAGGAGAGCCGGTAATCGGCATTCCTCAGAGGGGACATCTACACTGATCATCGGGGCCCTGATGATCTGTGTAGCCCCAGCAGTGCCACCTGTCAGTGTCCATCTGTGCCAGCTGTCAGTGCTCATCCATGCCACCTGCCAGTGCACATCAATGCCACATTTCCGTGCCTACCAGTGCACATCAATGCCACATATCAAGTGCCCATCTGAGCTGCCTTTCAGTGTCACCCATCAGTGCCAGTCAGTGCCGCATATCAGTGCCAGTCAGTGCCGCCTATCAGTGCCAGTCAGTGCCGCGCTAACACTGCCACCTAACAGTGCCAGTCAGTGCCGCCTATCAGTGCAGTGCCGCCTATCAGTGCCATATATGAGTGCTGCCTTTCAGTGCCTATCAGTGATGCCTGTCAATGCCCATCAGTGCCTCCTCATCAGTGCCCATCAGTGCCACCTATCAGTGTCCATCAGTGTAGCCTATAAGTGCCCATCACTGCAGCCTCATTAGCGCATATCAGTGAAGGAGAAAAATCACTTTTTTTTTCAAAAATTTCAGCGGTTTTTGGTTTGTTTAAGAAAAAATAAAAAACCCAGAGGTGATTAAATACCACCAAAATAAAGCTCTGTCACAAAAAAATGATAAAAATGTACTATGGGTACAGTGTTGCATGACCACACAATTGTCATTCAAAGTGCAACAGTGATGACAGCTGAAAATTGGCCTGGGCAGGAAGGGGGTAAAAGTGCCCTGTAGGCTAGTGTTTAACCACTTCCATACCGGGCACTTTTACCCCCTTCCTGCCCAGGCCATTTTTCAGGTTTCAGCGCTCTCACACTTTCAATGACAATTGCGCAGTCATACAACACACTGTACTCAAACTAAAATTTTAGCATTTTCTTCACACAACTAGAGCTTTCTTTTGGTGGTATTTAATCAGCACTGGGGTTTTTATTTTTTGCTAAATTAACAAAAAAAGACCGAAATTTTTTTAAAAAAAACACGTTTTTCTTTGTTTCTGTTATAAAAGTTTGCAAATAAATAACTGTTCTTCATAAATTCAGGCTGAGATGTATTCTACTACATGTCTTTGGTGAAAAGAATCCAAATTAGGATGTATTTTTTAGTTTGTAGGAAAGTTATAGAGTTCACAAACTATGGTATAGATCTGAATATTGATCAATCCTGAAGTACTGATAGCCAATCTAATTTGTTGAGGTCCAAGAATGTCAGAACAGTACAGATATCCCCCAAATGACCCCTTTTTGCAGAATAGACAGTCCGACGTACTTCATAAGAGGAATGGCGAGTTTTTTGAAGTTGTGTTTTTTTTGTCATAATTTTTTGGAAAATGAAAAAATAAAAAAAATTATTATTTTCACTATTTTCTTTTTACATACTGTCACCAGTTCAGTACAGCGTCATCATATAACTGGCATTGCAGTGATCAGGGACACTGACTGGTGACAATATGAAAAAAAAATATATAATATTTTTACATTTTGTTTTATTATTTTAAATTTTTTATTAAATTTTTTCTTTTTTTTTTACGATTTTTTTTTTCATATTTCACTATGACCAAAGTAGTACAATGTTATCATAGTAACATTGTACTACTTTGGGGAAGTGATCAGTATTTTTTTTTTTTTGCACAATTTGCTTATAGCAAAGGATTGCTTTGCTATAAGCAAGCATTTACCTGAATGACATCGATTCATTCAGGGTTTTTTTTTTTTTTGTGCTTAGCTGTGATTTGGCCACGGCTAATCACATGACACAGCTGGGCTGTGATTGGCCCAGCTTGTGCATGTGATCGCTGTGATCATTCGCAGCTAGACACACTAGTATACAATAGATGGCATGAATGAAGCCATCCATTGTATACAACTGTCATGTGACCTGCTGTGATTGGTCACCCCTGTCACCAACCCATCGCCCCCTAGTAAAACACTCCCTGCACACAGTTAAATCTTTGATCGCCCCTCATGTTAACCCCTTCCTGCCCAGTGCCATTAGTACAGTGTCAGTGCTTTTTTTTTAGCACTAATCACTGTATTGTGCATGTCAGTGACACTAAGTCAGTTCCCACCAGTGTCAGAATGCCCACCGCAGTCCCACAGTCCTGCTATAAGTCACTGATCACCACCATTACTAGTTAAAAAAAAAAAATTCCAGTATCTATACCGCCATTTGTAAACGCTATAATTTTCAGGTAAATCAATTAATTTACACGTATTTGGATTTTTTGTTAGCAAAGACAAGTAGTAGAATACATTTTTGGCCTACATGCATGAGGAAATTAGATTTTTTTAATTTTTTTTTACTGGTCGTTTAATAGCAAAAAGTTAAAAATATAGTTTTTTTCTCAAAATTGTCGCCTTTTTTTTATAGCGCAAAAAATAAAAAACACACAGGCGATCAAATACCACTGAAAGAAATCTCAATTTGTGTGAAAAAAGGCCGTAAGTTTAATTTGGGTGCAGCAATCATCAGTTAAAGTAATGCAGCGCCGTAACGCAATAAATGGCCTTGTCAGGAGGGGGGGTTACCTCTGTCTGACAAGTGCTGATTGGCCCTGTGCTGATCACATGCACTCTCCCAAGGGAATAAAAACCTCTCTAGCAATACACACCAAACTGAGCATGTGCAAATTGCCTACGGTTCAGTCTGTCTTGACAGGAGATAAGAGGTGGTCGCTTGAAAAAGGGGAGACCCCCACAACTACCAGCCATGGTTGTGGGGAAGAGGCCTTTGTCCCCACCCATCAACATGCAACATGGGGACAAGGTGCTTTGGGGGGAGCCTCCTGCCCCAAAGCACCCCTTGATGTTGAGGGCAAGTGGCCTGGTATGGTTCAGGAGGGGGGGGTGCTTGCTTGCCCCCCCCCTTTCCTGACCTGCTGGGCTGCATGCTTGGATAAGGGTCTGGTATGGAATTTGGGGGGAATCCCACTCTATAAAAAGAAAAACCCTGGAACATACCAGATCTGAAGGGCTTGGTATGGATGGGGGGGAACAATCCCATGTGTTTTTTATTTTTTAATTGCTGGGCAATGGCAGCAATTCGCTTGGCATTCAGCTGTCAGTGGGGTCTTTCCAGATACCGCTTAGTGAATTGTCCCTGTTCGAAGTCCGCAGTCAAACTTTCAGTAGCTTTGAATGTTCTACCGCGAACCAAACAGGGGGGTGTTTAGCCCATCACTATAGGAGAGGGAGAAGCAGCACAAGGAGTCAGTCAGTGCTCATTGTCTAACTAGGAGCATGCTGATAGGTGGAGAGAGCAGAGAGATGAGCTCATGAATCTACTGCTTCTCCTTCACTGTCCAGTCACATGCGGGGGGAAGAACACAACATTTATGTGTTACTAAATTGCAGCAAATAAAAATACTTCCAGACAGGACTATGCTGTGTGGCAGAGCTGTGTAAATCATAGAACTGGGTGGACAGAAATACAAATACTTTGGCAGTTTAAATCGCTCCCTTGTACAATATGTTTTATGTGTTTATTTTGGTGTGTGTCTGGATTTCCCCTTTAACCACTCCCCCCCCCCTTCCCACCCTGGCGTCCTTTCAAAAAGTTCAGAATGTCTGGGGGGGGGGGGGGGGGGGGGGGTGTAGGAAAGATCAGTGATCATGTGATTGGCTGTCACAGTGGTCATATGATTGGGAGCCAGACTGGGCCAAGAGCTCTGTGCTGGCAGCATGCAGTGAGCTCGCTCTCAGCACAGAAACATCAGACAACAAGCGACACATATGTGCGGTGTGTGGGCATTACAGTCCACCCTTTTACTGCTGCACATAGGCGGGCTGCAACAAGTTAAAATACATCATTTGCTGTCCTTCCCTGGAGAAGGCGATACACAATCTGTATACAGCGGTGCCACACTCCTGGGCGTGCCATGTGCTCAGTGTGGGTAAATCACCAGAATGACTGCGCATTATTAAATATATTGCCAAATAAATCATTTCACAGCTTTATATAACTGCTATGTATTTCACCGGAGTTCCCCTTTAAGTACTCTTATTCAGTGAACAGTAGCCCGTTAGACAATAAATTCGTTCGTTTTAGCTCCTTCGCCGTTCCTTGTTGACGGAGAGAATGAAAAGAGCTGGCATACGGTTTGTGAGCGGTAATCATCATCTCATTTTCAAGCAGTACAGAATGTGTTTTCTTTCTTTTTTTTTTTTCTTAAGCAATTGAAGAAACAGCTGGAGGGACACATGGAGTTTGCTCAGCAGCTGCAAGACACAGATGCTCAGCCTTCCACTTCAGTCTTCCAGCAGATTCACTGTACGCGGCTGATGTCTTACATGTTTCTGGGCCATCGCTGACAGGTGGATCGCACAAGACATCTCAACACGCAAGTGGAAGCATGAAAGCATTTGTCTGCTTTAGCCAGTGATTTACAGTGCGGCTGGAACAGACAAGAGCTGGCGGCTCTGAACATTTCATGCCACTGGCGGTTCCTCAATGGAATAAAAGAGGGATTTCCATGGAATTGTGTGCTGTTCTCTGTGTGTTTCTCTCTATTGTCTGCATCTTCTTCTAAAGCAGTGGTCTCCAAACTGCGGTCGGGGGGCCGGATGAGGCCCTTTGCTTGCTTTTATCTGTCCCCTGGGTCACTTTTCCTCCCACTGATACCAACAATGCGGCATAATTCCTGCTACTGACATTAACAACTGGACACTATTCCTCTCATTGACAGCAATAATGGGGCTCTATTCCTCCCACTGATGACAATGATGGGGCTCTATTCCTTCCATTGACACCAATCATGGAGAACTATTCCTCCCACTGACACCAATAATGGGGCACTATTCCTCCCACTGACACCAATAATAGGGCACTATTCCTCCCACTTACACTAATGATAGTGAACTATTCCTCCCACAGATATCTACAACTGGGCACTATTTCTCTCATTGACACCAACAATGAGGCACTTTTCCTCCCACTGACACCAATAATGGGGCACTATTCCTCCCACTGATAACAATGATGGGGCTCTATTCCTCCCATTGTCAACAGTCATGGAGCACTATTCCTCCCACTGACACCAATAATAGGGCACTATTCCTCCCACTGACACCAATGATAGGGCACTATTCCTCCCAAAGACATCAACAACTGGGCACTATTCCTCTCATTGACACCAACAATGAGGCACTTTTCCTCCCACTGACACCAATAATGGGGCACTATTCCTCCCACTGATAACAATAATGGGGCACTATTCCTCCCACTGATAACAATGATGGGGCTCTATTCCTCCCACTGATAACAATGATGGGGCTCTATTCCTCCCATTGACAACAGTCATGGAGCACTATTCCTCCCACTGATAACAATGATGGGGCTCTATTCCTCCCATTGACAACAGTCATGGAGCACTATTCCTCCCACTG